ATTTTCCCGCAGAACCAGAGGAGTTGTGTCAACAAAGACAATTGGAGGTTGCAGGCAAACCTATTAGGCAAATCATATATAGAGGCTGATGCTAATTGCTATATCAAGGAAGAGGGTCATTTACAATTTTTTCTCTTTTCATAACAATCCTAGGACACCCCTTTCTCATAATACAAACACAAATGCCATAAGCACTATCACTACTTGTGACTTTTCTATTCACAAAATAATGTATCCCTATAGTGATGTCTACTTTTTAAAAGCCAGTTAAAAACTTGGTTATTCAAGCAGGCCTTCCCTCCAGTCAATTAAGTCTTTCTCTTTGCTATTCCATCTTGGTAATCCTCTCTTTAAATTAATTGTTTTAAATTGAAATTGTAGCTGTAATTTTTATGATTTTATATATTTTTATACTGTTTTGTTTTATTTTGTAAAACACAAATGCCATAAGCACTATCACTACTTGTGACTTTTCTATTTACAAAATAATGTATCCCTACAGTGATGTATACTCTTAGGTTACTAAGGCTCATTCACATATTATGCAGGTACATGCTGCAAGTATTTACAGAAGGATCCCTGTATCTGTGGGAATATTAAAAATATTAAAAGAAAAAAATCTAGAAACATTATTTTCACATGTAAGACCAGAACTGGCCACTAGAAGGAGCCAGATACAATGCTGTGAATATAACATGTAAGACCAGAACTGGCCACTAGAAGAAGCCAGATACAATGCTGTGAATATGTGTTAGTGACGAATACATAGCATGATCTCTGGTGCCCTCTAATGACCAGTTCTGGTAATACATGTGGAAAAAAATTATATTGTTTTTGCTATTATCTGCAATATTCAATATCTGCATGCGGTTGGAACCAATCCCCAGTGGATATGGGGGTCCTACTGTACCATATGGTTACAGTGAGAGGGAAGGATAGATGATGCTGGGTGAATTATTATGCACTGATCCCATACTTTGGTGAGGGTAGTGCTTTATTTTTTATGACCTTAGATTGGTGAACCACTGAGTGTGTTATTCCATTCCCACCATCTATGCATAAATGCCGCTGACATTATCATGGACTCTTTTCCACAAAGCCATGCTGATTCTTCGTCAGCAAGCTTTGTTTATTTATATGTGGAATACACCAACATCAATAATGCTTAAAGCCACTTCTCATAAGAAATAGGTTAAAATGGCTGCTCAGGAACCTCCTGTATCACCCTGGGTGGATCATTCCAAGATCATCAAAACAAAAAGCACTGCATTGCCAACTGATATCTGGTCTCTCTATCACTGATAAAGAAGCTGCAGTGGTTAAACTGCACTTAAGTCTCTGCTCACAACCCGAGGTTGATCCTGATGGATTCAGGTAGTTGGCTCAACCTTCTGTCCTTCCAAGGTTGGTGAAATGAGTACCCAGCTCACTGGAGGGCCCCAAAATGTCCTTTGCATAGTTATGTTGTAAGCTTCTCTGAAAGTGCTCTAACACTTTGGGGTGGTATATACAGATGAAACAATAAACAAATAAATATTTTAGTTAATATATCAGCTGTTAAAACAACAGGTTGCACGCTTTTCACCCCTGTGCAGCTTTACCTTTTGTCCCAAAGCAGTTTGTAATTAGAGACGAGCACTAACCACCAGTTTGGTGGCTCGTGCTGGTTTAGTGCCCCACCCCTCCAGTGGGTGCCCACTCAGGGAAGGGACATCACCCAGAGAAGGTTGGGAAGCCAGGCTGCTGCTTTTGAGTGGATGCCTGCAGAGTACCAAACCACGGGACATCTCTTTGGTCATTATCGAAAACGGCAAAAAACCACCACACTGGCGAATTGTACCCATCTTTATGTGCAATCTGAATTGGACCATTTCAGCAGCTCATCTCAAAAATCTCACCCCAGAGCCACATCCTTCCCCCTCCCAGAGTGCAGTCTCCCAGGCTTTTGTCTGTTGTCACTTGTGGAGGTCTTAGAGCGTTGGCTGCTATGCAACAATGGCAGTGGTTGTGAAGTGTGTATCCGTCTGATATCCGCAGAAGAAATGGATGCAGACAATCCATTTGCCCTTTTATTGTTTCCTTGCCTTTCTTTAGAGCACTTCCTTATCTCTTCACTCTCTATGAGCCTCACTTGCTTCTGAAATACTGTTTTATTTGCTTTTGTGTTGAACATTTCTGTGCTGCTTCTCTGCTGCCCTTGAAGAAGTGTGTGAATAGAAAAGCTCATTGTTATAGCACAGTTTTTGCGTGTGGATCAGGGGATATGCAAAATTCGGCCCTCCAGATGTAGGGAATGGCATTCTCAACATTCTTCAGCGTTGGCTCTGCTGGTTAAGGGTTCAAGGAGCTGCTGTCCAAAAACATCTGGAGGGGCTCATGTTTTGGCCACCACAGTATAGGTAATGCAGGGCTAGATGATCAATGGTTCAATATAAGGCAGCTTAAAACATCCTAGGAAGTTCTTGTTTCTTTTCATACCATCCCCCCTGTCTCGTACACCATCATTTAAATTATGTAAGCTGCCTTGGATCCTTTTAAGAAGAAAGTTGGGGTAAAAATCAATCAATTATACTGGTAGTAATCTGTGTCACCACTCCAAAGGCAAATATGTCTGTTGCTTTTGAATACTTACCAGACTTCCAGAGCAATATTTGATTCAACAGATCAAATATTTGCTATCCTTCCTTACCATTTAGCAAATACCTCCCACTATCTCCAAACTCTCCATCCTACCTCATATCTGCTGTAACATGTATGGTTTTAGTGAGTTCATGAGTTATGAGGTCCTGCAACCCTTCCCATCAGAGTTAGACCACACAATGTTTTTATGACCAAAATCTCAAGCACAAGAATTGTGCAGATAAAATATATTTCCTTCCTCAGAAAAGATACGTTTTTATTTCAGTCCTTAATACAGAAGGCTCGTCCCCCATTCCCTTGCTTTGTATGCTACTCCTTCAGCGTTATGAGTCAATATGCCTTTCACAAAGGACAGTTGGTGTTTGGGTCCAAATTCCACCCTCTGGTGCATGCAAGCAACTCCCACTGCTTTCAGCCGCAGCAGATCACATGTCCGATTCATGGCAAAACTCTAGCTTGCAGATTTCTAGTGTGTCATCAAGCCCTGAGGTGGCAGAGCTTCCAGTACTTTGTGAGTAGAGGAGATATATGGTCTTTTGCCTTCCCACATGAGGTGCAAAGAAAGCAAGGGTAAATGTTAGGAACAAAGTTTCCTAAGCTACATTCGCTAATTGTATCAAATACAGCGTTAGTGGACAATGAGTCTTCTGTGGTACCTCAGGAATGTCACTTGTTGTCTTCTGAATCTAGATTATTAGCTCGACCATTCAGTGATGTGAAATGGTTGCCCTCGATAGTAGAGGCTGGGAGGTGGCACTCTCTAAGCCAAATTGTTGCTTTAAGATGTTGTTGATGATGGTTTCCCATTATTTTTGCTGGAGGACACTCCAATTGACAGCCAAGTCAGGAATGAGAGAGGCACCATTTTGCTTTATGAAGAAGAGTGCTCTCCCCTGTTTCATCTCAGGCAGTAACATCTCTTGTATCGGTGCTGGTTTTAAGGCCACAGTTTGGTCACATCCAAATTCAAATACTTGTATCTGAAGCGGAACATATAACACTGCCTGGGCCAAATTACTGTTCTATCTGGCCTACCTTGTCCACTCTTAACCAGCAGCAGCTTTCCATAATCTGAAGCAGTTTTTTTCCCCGAGCACCTGCCAGCTGAGAGCCATTTATTGGAAACATCAGGGGTTGTAATATGGGCCCTTCTTTGCATAGAGCAGGTGGTCTACCCTTGAAACAAGACAGCTTGTCTTCTTTTGTCATGCACCAACTTTCCCTAATCCAGCACCTTGTCTTTGTGCTGGACTACAATTCCCATCATCAGCAGCTAATTAATGATGGCAATGCACTTGGATGGTACCAGTTTGAAAACGGTTTTTTTATATCAATGAGTAGGGCTTATACAGAGTAATTTAACTGATCCTTTGACTGTTCCTGATGGAGTGGCATTATGAGAGAGCACTCACATTGATGGGCATTGTGAAATAGGCATGTACTACATCCTTTAAAAACACACACACACAATAGCAACGAATAGGAAATTATTTGTGGAATACTGTCTTCACCAAAGGATACTTGTCCACAAAGATATATATGAGGAAGGTATGGAAAACTACATACCCTCCACATGCATTGATTTTTGCAACATACCAAACTGCAAAGCCTAATGGGTCAGATAATATTTGGGTCTGTGGCAACAGCATGTGCAGAGTCCCCACTGAATATATTTAGTTTGATGGCAACACTTGGGTTGAAGGGGAGCCATAATACACTTCAGTGCATGGAAATGTTGCGGGAACGTACAAAGCAACTGTGTAACCTGGTTGTTAGGAAATGACATTATTGTAAATTTGCAAACAACCATTACTCTTGCCCTGTTTCTTTGGTGAGTTCTAATACTTATGGTTGAATACAAGGAAATTAAGAGGTGAATTTGTTCTGTGCATGCAAAATTCTCACATGAACCTTCAATGCAAATAATAATGTTATGGACTACAGTTCCCAGAATCCCCCTGCAACTGAAAATTCTGGAGTTGTAGTCTAGAATAATTTTTCCAGGCATAGATATACATAGAGAAAGGAGTGAACAAACACTCCCTCCCCTGGCAAATCCTCGTTCCTTTCTTCTGCTAATTATATCTTATGAATCCAGTACCCTCTAAACCCAGATGTTCATATTTTAATACCTACATTCTGTGGTTCAACTTTACAAAGCTAGTTAACGCATGTTTTAAAAGTTATTGTACTATATATAACAGCCTTGCCTAAGAGAATAGAGGTTTGCCACATTTAGAAAATGCAGGTGCTATGTAAGCCCCCTTTTGAAAGCAAGAACTTAGCTTAGTTTCCTTTGAAGACCCAGAGACTTGAAACTGAAAACTTTTATTAATGCCATTGTCTCCTTGTATCAGCAGGTTCCAGAGAGATTCCTGGAAGTGGCTCAGATCACATTACGAGAGTTTTTCAATGCCATTATCGCAGGCAAAGATGTTGATCCTTCCTGGAAGAAGGCCATATACAAGGTCATCTGTAAACTGGACAGTGAAGTTCCTGAGATTTTCAAATCTCCAAACTGCCTCCAAGAGCTTCTCCATGAGTAGAAATTTCAAACACTATTTATGAATGTATAAAAAAAGTAGCAGACCACCCTTTTTGATGCCCAAGTTACGTGCGTGTGAGTGTGTGTGTATGTGTGTCTATAAAGCAGAATCCTTTGTGATTTTTTTTCTTATTTAGGTCAGTAAGAAACGGATAATTAACTCCAGTCTTTGTTTTAATTTTTGCCTGTAACTTTTAACATTTCACACAAAATGGATATGGATCACATCCCCCTTTCCTACTTTCCATCCCTGGAAGAAAAATGTTTTGAAGTGTGTACAAACCTGTTTTACCAAATTTAGGGCATTATGTTTATCTAGTTTGCCAGGCATTACAGAAAGAAACATTCTGTTTTACAAGTATTATGGCGCATTTCTGCAGGCCAGGACATCTCTTTGTTTAAAGGTTTCGCTCAACTGGGTAATGAAAGTGGCAATGGTTTTGTGTTGTAGTTTGGAAGACAAATAAGTGCCCGTTCTAGCCTCTCAAATCTGATCAATATCCACAACGGTCTCAACTCTTGCTCCTTATAAGAACACTTGTTCCTTATAAGAAAAAAAATTATGACCCAAATGTTACACCCTGGACTGCAGCATATTCTGTGGTGCCAGACAGGCTGGTCCATCTATATCCTTTCACAGAGGATGTGTTCTTGAACAACCTTCAGAACACAGCCAAAGAGCCTGAAAAACCCACAATAACTGATGTTAGGGGTGTTCCTTGATATTCTGTGGTGCCAGACAGGCTGGTCCATCTATATCCTTTCACAGAGGATGTGTTCTTGAACAACCTTCAGAACACAGCCAAAGAGCCTGAAAAACCCACAATAATTGATGTTAGGGGTGTTCCTTACCTCTATTTTCTCCCCCAGGTTTGAAAAAAAAAAAGACATGATATATTGTCCTAGGAATCATTACAGGCTTGAAAGAAATCTCTTTCAGAGTGGGCCCAGATTTTAGGCAGGTCTGGATCCAAACCAAAACAGATTATGGAAGTAAGCTTAGAATCCCCAAATTTTTGGAGTTTGCTATATAACTACGTCACCTGGCTCTCCCCTCTGTCTGGCAGGCAAGCAATATTGTAGAAAACAATTCACTCAAGGCAAGGTATTCTTTTGCAAACTTGGGGATTTACGTTTCATAATATGGTCAGCATTGTAAAACAATAAAATTACACTCTCCAATAGAGTAGAACATTGTGGTATGATTCTTAACCCTAACAGAGTGTTTCTAATCCCATTACTTTACTTGCAAACCGTGTGGTCAATACTTCCTTTTCAAATCAATGGGACCTCGTCTACAGTGTATGCACACATTATTAAGAACTGCATCTACTACTAGACAATTAGACGCCTATAGTATTCATCTGCTTAATGCTCAGCTTTGACTGAACTGTGTCTTTACACACATGATCACACTGAACGGTCAGGCCTGTGCCATGTCCTAAATGGGATTTTTATCAAAATGTATTCTTCTCCTCTTCCCTTCCTGTCACCTGAGGCAGTGTATATATTTTGTGTTTCATTTTTTTCTTGAAAAACAATGTTTTAAATTAGCTTTTCACCTGGGAAACATTGTAAGTTACTTTTTGCTTTACCCTAAAATTACTGAGATAAAAACATTAAAAATTTAAAAATGACATCATCTCAAAGTACAAGCAAACTTTCTGTATATTTGAGTGGAACCTCTCTTTTTTTGTTAAGAGAACTAGGCACATTAGAGAGCGAGAGAGAGAGCACAACTGTGGGGGAAACTGGGCGCACCAAATTCCAGTGAACCCAATGGAACTTAAGTGGTTAACTGTGCTTGCTAACCCACTGGGACTTCAGCATCCTTAACGTACTGTGAATTTATACCAATAAATCATGGAGAGACTTTATCCCTGTCCCATTGGCTATGAAAGCAGAAGCTAGCCACTTTTATTATTTCCTCAAAAATGAGTGATTAATTAACAGCGAGTAGACCTGACTGAGGTAACTTCTCTGATACAACACAAGTTAGCAGCACACAGAACATAAGAGCAATACAAGATATCAGACGAGAGGGACCCATTGGAAGGTTGTTTTGTTTTGTTTTGTTTTTTCACCTCAAAATAACTTTCTGGAGTGGTGAGAAAGAGTCATGTGAATTAATTTGAGCCCTGACTAAAGTATGTTTTTCCTAGGCCTCAGGGCCAAACTTCAAATGATGCTAAATTCATAGCTGCACTGAAAATGGAAGCAATGCATACAATTCCCTACATAATGTTTGCTAGTATTGTGCACTGATGTCATTACAGGCTGTTTTTCTCAACCAGCAGCCAATGACTTGGGGCAGATAAGCACAAAACATCCCCATCTCAAAACATAGTCAGTTCCCCTTGCTGTTGGGGATATGGATTCAACATATGGCTGCCATTTTCAACAAAGAATGGGTATTTAGCACTTAGAGGCAGTTCTAGTTTTTGACATCTACCGAAAGAGGATGTGTGTCAAGGCAGTGCGACATGAAATTTCTCTTCTGAGGGGCTCCCAAAAAGTTTATTATTGTGTTACAGAATAGGAGTTGTACGAATCCAAGCAAAATCAGTTGACACAATAATCAACCTAAAGGGGGAAGGGGCGAGCCTGTTGTTAGTTTTTATGCCTTCTTCAGTGGTCTGCTTTTTCTTTTGGTATTTCTGCAAAGGTGTAGTGTCAAGTAGTGTTCTCTGATATGCTATGGCACTGTGTGTTTGTCATTTTTCCTCTGTTGTCATTTGTACAGATGCAGTAAGAATTTATTGTTATCTGGGCTAGTGTTTTTCTTTATCTACCCACTTCTCTGGCAGTTTGATAAAAATATTAATTAACCAATGTGTTTGCTTTAAAATTAACCTTTTAAAAAAAATGAAGGATATTCCATTTTCTCCCCCTTTCTTGATCTTGATTTTTAGCAAAACACAAAAGATAAATTGTACATCATCTTTGGAAACTGAAAGTTTGCCCCATATTTTAAACACACATTCAGTTGATGTTGTCAGTGCATGACGTTTCATTTGCAAATAGTGCTTGAGAGACAGAACTGGACGGAGGTAGTCCTTGTCTGTAAAGAAAAAAATTAAAACATGTTATCAGTAAGAAAACCAGAATTGTAACCCAGTTGAAAACCTAGATTGCAACTCCTTCCTATATGCAGACAAAGGGTTTCTAATGTAGAAGAGATTTTTTTATGGCAAGTCCATTCCACTACAAAGCAAGCGAGCAAGTAAGATGCAGACTGACAATGTACAATACATACAGATCTAAGTGAACTTTTCCTGTGTAATGTCTATGTTGTAGTAAATTGTAACTACAATAATACTCTGGCCTTCACACTCACTCTGTTCCTTGCATGTCAGCTCTAAAACATCACTCCTGCCATGTTTAAACTACAGTTCCTTATTACATCCAAAATGGGAATCTTTCTCATTTCCCTCACCAAGATCTTCTATCACAATTTAACCCTGGTTTCAGGATGCTGGTTGATAAACTAACATTAACTTCCTGTTTCAAGGAAAAATGCAGATCTGCAATTTAAACAGACAAGAATCAAAGTGCTGAATCTGGGACCCTTAAATAAAAGACATTGTCACGAATGCATGCATGTCCAAAGGGCCTTTCCAGATTACAGTGGACCCTTGACTTACAGACGGCTCGACTTACAGACTTTTCGAGTTACAGACTTCTCTGGCCACAAAATTTAGATTCGACTTGCAGCTGGAGAATTGACTTACAGACCAGAAAAAAAACCAAATTGGAACAAAAATAGAATAAAAACCGCTGGTTATGGGTTTAATCGGTTTTCAATGCATTGTAGGTCAATGGAGATTCGACCTACAGACTTTTCGACTTGGAGCCACTGTTCCAATACGGATTAATTCTGTAAGTAGAGGGTCCACTGCAATAAGCCATTGTTTATTAAATGCCTGAATGAGCTCTAATTGTGTGTAAACATATTCCTCCCTGCCCCTCGCCCATCTTCACAGCTCTCTGGTGTTATTTCTGACCATTACAGTAGTTGTGTCTGTGCATGGTAGACAGTGTGGCCAGTAGCAGAGGACAAAGGGCCATTCCTTTTTGCAATAGATAATGCACTCAAAGGAGGGCATTTGGCTACTAAACCTCTCAGAATTCTTTAGGACAGTTTTTTCTCCCATCCTGTTGATAGCGTACATCATTGGCACTTCATTTGTACACAGTGTTTCAGATCTAGGGATCTGCTGACGATTAGCACTCTACAATCACCTACAGTCCCACATTCACGATGCTTCTTCCAGCTCTATCGCTGCTTCTCTAGATGGGCTATAAGCCCAAGAGGCAGAACTGCCACTGTGCCAAAATAATAACAGTTCTAACCCTTCCACTAGCAAGTACTTCACCTTACTGTTTGCTTTCTGCACTCCTGCCACTTACCTGGAACATTTCCGTTTCCACTTTCCTTGTTTTCACACTTGCTATATGGAAAAGAGTTGTAAACCTTGGTTGAATACTTTGTTCCTTCCCAATACAGCAGACAATTTCAGTTCTGGTGCAGGTCGTATTTTGGCTCATGTTTGCTGAAAAAGTAACAGAGCTACAGGCACCTGCAGATAAGAATGTCCCACAAGGTTGTATGCATAGGTTACATCAATGGAAGACACTTCTGAGGCAGCTATAGTTGCAGTTTTAAAAAAGGTACCCGTGTTAGTCTGCGCCAGCATGTCAGACAAATCATAAAAGAAAGAAGACCAAAATGCTGGGGCACCTTAAAGACTAACTGCTGTATTTTAATGTGCGCTTTCACGGACACGTCTGAGAAAGTAGACTTGTCCACGAACATTCACACTAAAGTATAGCAGACAGTCTTTAAAGTGCCACAATGTTTTTGTCTAATGTTTTTTTTACCTGATATACTTTTGTGACAGTCACTCACAGGTAAAGACTACTGTTTTCATATTGTCATTTTCGACATTAAGAACCAGACTAAAGCCATACTTCATGTAGCAAGTTACGGACACATTCAGAATTCGTGTAATTTTTCTTTTTCTTTTCTTTCATTTCCTTTTATTCTTTTCTTTCCTTTTTTGCTGTTCATAGTTAGTATTGTTAGCTGTACTGCGTTGTTATTGATTGAAATGTGATTAATGGAATTAAGTTAAACACTAGACCTTATAACAATTATTTATTTATTTAATTTTATCTAGCATATGTAAAATTATTAAGGAATAATGCATAGGAATGCTAACTGGGCGGGAAACCCAATAAATCGGGGTCTGGTGTTTTGTTCTTTTTAAATATACAGCTAATGATTGGACCAGTACTTTTGTGATGACTTCATTGCATTGTCTAGCCATATTGCCTTTGTGTCTCCTAAGGGCACATTAAAGGACACCGGAAGCATCCGTTTTTGCTGTATTTTAAGTAGGGTTCAATTTCTTCCCAATGAGCTTTTAAATATTCCATACTTAAATTCATAATATAATTTTTAAAAGAAAACACCCTGATCCTATAGATAATTCAACTGCTGCCGAGTGTTTTGCACAGATGGAACTTATAGCACCATATTTGCATGTGAAGTTTGTCCTGCTATGCCCTCTATCTGTTGTAATCCTGTTACAAAGAAATAGGAAAAGAAGAAAAACATTAGCGGTCAGGACTATACGTTTGTGGTTGCCATTACTGGCTCCCATACCCTGTGTACTAAAACATCGCTGC